ACCATAACGAGTGCATGAAGCCTTGGACGAAATATACAAGATGTCACTTCATAAATTTCGTCCAGAGGCTATTATAGGTGCTGCGTCACCTTTTTATTGGGCCAGGCCCATGTAATTTCGAAATACATTAGTATAGGCTATTTTTAGAGTCTGTATGTGTGGGGAAACAAGAGATAGGGTTGATTTCGGACCCCTCCACCAAGGGCCACGAAATTCCCCCTCTCTTCCTCCATATATACAGCCCTTAGGGCACCGTTTAGACTTTGGGTTTTGTTTAGATCAAAGTTCGCCATAGCTGCAACTTCGCGTACTTCGTTTGTATTCAACGACCAGACAAAGGCGTCACAGAACCCCACCTTGATCAATAAAACTTTCATCTTATATTCGCAATATCCAAATTGCAATCTCAGTTTCTTGCTTGTTCTTCATTTGCTCGCAGGAAACAGACCCTCGTGGTCAGGTTGATCGTGCTCCGGCGTGTTCAATAACCTCTCGGAGTTGGTTTAGCGATTGCTAAGGCGCGATGTCCTCGGACGTTCGTAGTCGGATCGTCAAAGTCGACTTCCACCAAAGCGATATCCATCATCTCATCGAAAGACGGGACACCTTTGCCCCTATGATACAATCGAGCAAGACAATATGGACATTTGGGTCCTTGTGGATACACCTCCAATTCTTCTCCCATGTGAGCTTAACATAGTTATTAAGTAATTTATATTGTTTATTTCAAAATAGTTGACAGCTTATTTCCATTGACAGCTTATTTTCATTCTTCAAAGAATGTGCGGAAGATGGTAGACAAAACCCACTACACCGATGGCTCCGAATTAACTTATAAGGAGAAAAATCATCTGATCGCATTTTGTACTGATCTTGAGAATTACAATGTCTACAATCGAACTCCTCAACATTATGGTCAATACGTGCCACTACTGCATGTGTTGAACTACAGTAACTACCATGGAGATACCCTGGTAAGATTTTTTACTATTACGACATCCGCGTATCTTTTTGCATACTTCTAAAACTAGTGCATCATTGCTAACTACGAAGTTATTACTATGTTTTTCAACAGATAATCCCGAATGATTGTGTGCCTCATCTGATGTATACGCACGGTCGCCTTGATGTTTTGAACATACAACCAGGTCGTCCTACGAATCTCAACTGTCCATACCGGATTTCTCAAAGAAGTGGAGAGATGACAATCAAAGAATGGAAAAAATGTATGGACAGTCGTAAGGAGCTTCTTGGAAGTAAAAGGAGGCGAAGCGCAAGAATTGGAGAAAGGATGATCTCCATTCTTCATAATGGAGAGTCAGGGTCCATATTGTTTTATGTTATTTTATCTTAAGTGTGTTTAGGTCTACCTGATACTGATGATGTGCTAAGAAAAATTATGTAGGGTTGGGTTCGATGACTATGAGTATGATGATCGTATGACTTGTTATTAATAACGAGTAGAAGTTGTATGATGATGCATGATTAGTAGGACTTGTTATTATATATGATGATGTATGATGCGAGCATGAAGAGTTATTATATATCAGCGGGTGAAATGAACATAGCAGTAGCGTTGGTAAACCAAGCACGAAGATAAGAAAGGACACTTCTCTCTATTAGCTAGCTAATAACAACCTAAATTAACCCCCAAAACCCCTAAACCAGCCACTTAAAAAAAACTCATCTGCGGCCAGCTTCTGACGCGTGGATGCCTTTTGGTCCCGGTTTATGTCACCAACCGGGGCCAAAGGCCCCCCTGCCTGGGCTGCCCGCAGCGGCCACGTGGATGCCCATCTGTCCCGGTTCATGTAAGAACCGGGACTAAAGGGGGGAGGCATTAGTAACGACCTATTAGTCCCAGTTCAAGAACCGGGACTAAAGGCCCTTACGAACCGGGACAAATGCCCTGTTTTCTACTAGTGGGCGTTGACGGGAGACTATGAGCGTGGGCAGCTGAGGATGAGCGCGGGTGGTGCAAGGTGGCCGTTGTTAGAAGGGAGAGAGAGGGATTGATGGAATTGTTGATTGTATTGCTTGAGCCTCGTGGGCATATATATAGGAGTATATGGTCATCTTGGAGTACATGGCAAGGTAGAATAAATCCTAGCTATCCTATGTTTCCTAAATAATCATTATACTTCACATCCCCCTGTAGTCACAATGATAGCGACGCGGATGGTGAGACTGGAGAAGAATCTAAAAGTAAGCCAACAGACCCCCTCCCCTCCCCCCCCAGTCGTAAGGATCGATGCATCACGGAAGTCGTGGCTGAAGTGGAAACCGACGAGGTTGCTCAAGCAAGGCGATAGCCCTTTTGTGCCGAGGTCGAGGTAGCCGAGAGCGGAGGGTGGTGTAGTCGTGGTCGAGGTAGCCATGCGAAGAATGTCATGGTCGGTGTCGAGTCGGGGTAGCCAATGTCGAGGAAGTCGCCGTGGAGCCGCAGACGCAAGGAGGCGCCGAGTTAGTCATGGGCACAGTGGTATCGAAGTAGTGGTGCGCCAGGAAGATGATGTTTCTGACGAGGCGTCGCGCCGGGTTTGCCAAACCCGGGGACACGTCGTAGACAAATGCATGCGACTGTGTTACCAGCATCAGGCATGCGTAGACGGACAAAAACAAAGTTGACGAAGCGCTGCACCAGGCTTGCCAGGCTCGGGGATGCGTCATGGACGAAGGCACGCATCGCTGTTGCCAGCACCGGGCATGCGTAGACGAGGGACCTGCATGAGCTGTACGACATGTCGAGGAGTTGGAGGGGCCAGCAGATAAGGAGACTCGACGATGGTTGTGGGGCCAATAAGCATGAGGCCGATGTCACCAACGGTGGTCGGAGTAGACGAAGTGGCCGGGGTAGATGACGACAACGTTGGCGATAGGCTGGTGCTGGACGAAGATGAAGGGGGTGGACGGGCGGCGGCTATGGAGGTAGCAACGGCGGCGCCCGAAAAAGAGTGGCAGCGGCGGCTTGGTTAGGAGTGTGGTGGCGGTGCTCGAAGTAGGCGAAGGAACCCGACAGCGTGACGAAGACCGGCGCGGACGATGGCTTTCTCGCTCCGAGGGAGGCGGCATGGCGCATACCACGGGAAGTCAATGCGCAGTGACGACGGAGTAGAGCATGGGCCGCGACGCTACGGCCCGAAGGGGCAACGCAGCGGCGACAGCAGGTCGGGCGACGGCGGGAAGACCTAGGGGTGGCGTGGACCCGGTGCCACGTCGCTACGGCCCGAAGGGGCAGCACATCGGTGATGCGCGTGTCAGTGATGCCGCGGGGACGGCCTCAGGCGGCGGCGGTGGCCGTGTTCCGCGGCGCTACAGCCCGAAGAGGAAGTGTACCGCCGGCTCGCCGGTCGGGGCAGTCGTGGGAAGAACCACTGGCCGGAGGCGACGGCCCAACGGGAGGCCGTGTGGACCGCGTGCCCTGGCGCGTCGGCCCTAAGGGGCGCGACGCAAGGGCGGCGGTTGTAGCTACGGGGATAGCCGGCGGGAGGATCTCGAGGCAGCGATATGGATCATGGTTCGTGACATGACAGCCCGAAAGGGCGTCGGCGGCAGCGGTGTGCGGGTCGGGGCAGCCGGCGGGAAGACCTCAGGCCGGCGACGCAGCGGTCCGAAGGGACGACGTGCCGGGAACCTGTGAGTCGATCAGTGGTAGACACGTGCTCGGGGACATGCTTGGCAAAGACAGACGCGTGATCGGTTGATCAGACCGACGACGGCGTTGTACGCATCATGGCGGAGACAACGCGCACATCGGATTCGATGGCAACATTGTTGATGATGTCCTGGGCGACGACGACGAAGACAGACCGGCGATGGAGACAGCGCGAACAAGCGACCAACAGCAACGCACGAAGACGTCCCTTGGACGGCGGGTCCACCCTTGCCGCGCGGTTGATGACGAAGCGGTCGGTGTTTAGTCGACGCCGATGTCGAAGTAGAGGCGCGGGGGTCGACGGCGGCGGCGGGCGACGAAGATCGATCTTAGATCGGAAAAGCAAAAGGTAAGCGCCGATCAAAGCGACCAGTGAGAAAGAAAAACTCGGGTCAAGAGATTAGGAAAAAGACTCTCTAGGCCAGCCGGTCAACACGACCGGCGGGAGAACCCTGTTAGGGCCGTGCGGTGCGGCCCCGGCGGCGGTCATGGAGGCCGGCCGCCTCAGGGGCGATGCGCGGAGCGGAAGCGGCAGGTGGCGGCTAGGGTTGATTTGGTTAGCTAATACCATGTTAGAAGGGGGAGAGAGGGATTGGTGGAATTGTTGATTGTATTGCTTGAGTCGATGTTTGTTGTTTTTCCCGTCTGTTTGTCTAGTTGATCGTGTGTGCTGCTACTCTGCCTTGTGGCTTTATCTATAAAGTCGGACGCAATGCATTTTTTCTAAAAAAATTGCTTGAGTCTCGTGGGCATATATATAACAATACACGGTTATTTTAGAGTAGAAGACAAGGTAAGATAAATCCTACTCCAGGTTATATTATGTTTGCTAGTGAACATTATACTCAACAGCCGTCAAGCGCGGGCGAGCGCGTGGCGGCCGGCGAGCGCGCAGAAGCATGAAGTTGAAAGTGAGGCGGCCTCAGTCTGGGGCGTTGACGCGCGCTTGATCGGACGGTAGCACTACCCTTACTCTGTTGTAGCATTTGAGCGTTTGCGAATCCTTGAGAAAAAGAAGATCGATCATGATGCTGCGAGAAGAGAATGCAAACAGCTTTCGAGCTTTCGTTCCACTTGAACAGATCTTGTCTTTCATTTGTTTTCAAATTTGCTAGTTCAATCCTAAATGCATCAATTCCACAAACAAAAATTTTATTCTTCAATAATGCTGCTTCTACACGTGCTTAGAAAATGAGTCTTTGGGGCGAAGGCAACTAGTAGTATCATAAGTATCATACAAACAAAAGCACACTGGCACCTCCCATTTTAACCCAGACAACAAAATCAGCCTCAGAGTTCCAAAATCTCAGTAATGCAAAAATCAGAACTGTCATAAGCTTGATCATCATATCCTAATGAAGAAGATGCTAAGCTCTGGGCCATTGTTCCCATCAGGGTTGAGCATGTACAGCGACTCGGAGTCCCGGGACCCCACCACGCGGTCGAAGCGCGCGCGCATGTACGCCAGGTCGCCGGCCTCCTGCCCCTCGGCGGTGTCGCAACCCATGACGTCGTTCGGCAGCACGCCGGCGCCGACCGACACGGTGCGCAGCAGCTGCATGACCGTGAGGTCGTCCTCCGTGGGCTCCCGGCGCATGGCGTACCCGATCTTCCGCCCGTTCACGTAGGCCGTCCACAGCGGCTCGTCGAGCAGGCGCGTGCGGCCGATGCCGGCGCCGGCGCCAGGCGGCTTCTTCTCGCACTCGAGAGCCACGCGCAGGTGCTCGGCGCCCATCTCCTGCATGAACCTGCCGGTCTGCATCGCCAGCTCCAGCAGCAGGATGGGCACGCTCCCGGGCGTCTCCTGCACCGCCAGCGTCACCCGCGCCCTGCGGTACCCGAACAGCGTCCCCGTCGTGCGCGACGCGCCGCTGACGTGGCCGTCGTGCATCCGCGACGGCCCGCCGTGCCGCGGGACGATGCCGTGGAAGCGGCACGCCGGGGCGAGGATCGGGAGGGACCGGAACAGCGCGCGCACGGCGCGGATGGCGCGGAGCGAGCGCGCGGCCGTGCGGCGCTGCTTCTTCTTGGACGGCGGCGGGGTGAGCGTGATCGCGGGCCTGGGCGAGGGCGGCGGCAGCTCGGAGTACGCGCCGGGAGTGCGAGGCGTCCCCGGGGCGTGCAGCGGCGACATCGGCGGGGTGGACTGCGGCGTCGCGTACCGTATCATGGCCGTCGCCGGCTTGGTGGTGGACGCGTTCGTTGCCGAGATAGCGCGATGTTCTGGCATCGTCCTGTGATGCTTTGAGGACAGGGCCCGGGGTTTTTGAGATGGTGTCTCGTTGGCTTAGGTTGGTGGAATGCACGTACGCGAAGGTATGATGAGGCATGCACGATGGATTTACTTCATTTTTTTCTGGTCAAGGGACTGCTTTTTTCCAGGTTCTTCTCCATTCATGTATATTTTGATGCTCATTTTATAGAGAGAAGCTCCCGGTCCCGGTGCCTCTTTGGGGGTACTTCTAAAATTTGCGAATCTCTTTGGGAGTACTTGCGTTATGAACTTCCTTTGTTTTATGAAAATTGTGTATACATTTTCGCTTTTCCTATATGTCATATGGCTGATTTTTTTTTTGTTCTACGAGTCACTTTCTACTTTGCACGACGCCGAAGGCGGGGACTATGTGACGAGTGCCGGCCACGGCGAGGCCGAGCCAGGACCTCGCCGAACCCGCGAACGACCCTGCGAGCGGCAGCGAGCTACGGTGTCCCAGGTGGAGG